CTAAGAAGTGATGTTTATAAACCACTATTTATCAAATGATCCCAAAACACTAAACAAATTTTACCAAGAGATAGACTGAAGTTGTGCCATAGGGGACTTCAAGGTGTTGAACTGTACCATCTGCTTGGACCCTCAAGCTGCAAAGCTGAACTGAATCTTGAAGGCACCTCTACATGAGCTCCTACATGATCAGAAAGCCCTCCCCAGCTGTGGAGTCCCTGGCGCTGCCCCTGGCTGCCATGCATGCCAGTGAAATCAAAGTAGGCTGTGCCTAATGGACAGCAAACTATTGTGTGTAGGTTCTCTCCAGCTGCACAGGCACAATCACGGGAGGGGGGCGGGTGTGGACATGTCTCCCAAGAGTTTACTATTCCCTTGATGTCATCATCTGAGTTTCTAATATAAAAAATAAGCAGAAAGAGGGTGTGTGTGGAAAATCAGCAGCACCCTTTCTGACCTCCCCCCTCTTAATGCATCATAAAGAAGTTAAAAAGGGGCACAGACCCAATTTCTATTTTCCTTTGCCAGTCACCTCTAGTAGAGGGATTGTCTCCTGGACTACTTCTCCTCCCCTTGGCGACCAAATAACATTCCTGTGGCGACTGCAGCAGTTGCTTACATGGAAAAATAACATTAGGAAAGTAATGTATTTTTAGCTGTCTTTTAATGCATTTCAGCAGCTGGAAAAAAAGGGGAGTTAGCATCATGTGACCAGTGAGCTCTCCACAGCCCACCAGCAATTGCTAAGAGGACCACTGGTGGCACACAGACCGCAGTTTGGGAACTATTTAATAGGGCCTTTATTTCTAGCCCGGGGCGGTCATAAGAAAACAAACCTGTGAACTAGTCCAGGACTGACTATTTAAAGTGTGATTTGCAACCTTTGCTTTTCACTAATCTGACTTTTAGGGGAATTTATTAAACAATTTGTGGCCTTTTTAAAAATACACAGTGGCTGTCTGAAAGGTGCTGAGAGGTTTGGAATACTAGGAATAGTACCAGCTGAGATGGATTTATGGGCAGAGTGCAGGTGAGAAGGCCAAAAGGTTAAAAAAAAATTAAATGTGGTTTATTGCCTCATTCTGTGGTTTGGGCAAAATCCGGCAGCCTTATTGAGGCAAAACTCCCATAAGCATTGGTGGGAGTTTTCCCTAAATAGGGATTGCAGTATTTGTCCATTTATTCCATGATTGCAGAAATAACAGAATATGTTCTACAGATTGTAGTCCCCACTGTGGTCCCTGGTCTGCTTCTGGGGCTGTGCCTCACTCAGGACTTGTGGCGAGGCCCCAATTTAGTTAGTTAGTGTACTAATATATTTATGAAGTGAATATCCATAGATGGAAGTGGAGAACTATTTTTACCATTACTGGTTGAAGTGAGTAGAGGAACCATAATAATAACCGATTAGCTGGGACAATAGAAATCCAGAGGACCATAACATTTCAAGGATTAGCATCTAACTGTGGATTTCCTGCAAGTTTTGCTGTATTCTTCATAAGATACACTTTGTGGCGAGAAAAGAGGGAGCTCCATGTCCTTCTGGTAGAAATGATAACCTTCACAATGAAAATGGCAGCCCTGTTGTCTTTTGCATCTGTAGCCACACTGACTGAAACAACAGCACCAGGACTGAGATGAACAGGGGAAATTCATCTTAACGGGATGTTAATTTTGAAACCTAATTATAGCAACTTGAACAGCAGCATTGTTAAACTTTTCCAGCTAATTGTCGTATCAGAAACATCCAATCATGCACATCTATCATGTGTCTGGATGTAACTGTCACATTGGGATGGCCCATCTGTTTGAAAGGGCATTTCACAGGAATTGGACTGCAAGTTTTGAGTATGCAAGTAGTCAAATATTCTATGAGTCTGGGTTACTGAGATATTTGCTGTTATTGTCCTTAATAACCAGGTATTTGAAGCATATTTAGCTAAATAGCACTGGACTTTTATGGGCTAGCTTGTGCGATTTTTGTGCATTTTTCTTATAAGCTTTATCCTACTTTAGAGAAGGCCGTTACTACAATCATAAATGATATCACCATGTAGCTAAACTGTTGTGAGTATAAGTACATGTAGATTTTGCCCAATAAGTTGTCAGAGACATTCAAAATTGGATAAAACAAAGTTTGGATAAGTAGGGGAGGCAGTTCATTACCATCAGCTTGTGTGGCAATTTTGGTTAGGTGGGCAGGGTGAAATAGGATTTGACTGTATATTCTCTCTCTCTCTCTCTCTCTCTCTCTCTCTCTCTCACACACACACACACACACACACACACACACACTATAAAAACAAATTTCTATTTAGTTTTATAAGGTGTTTGTACTTACAGATTGCAGCAGTACATGTCTACAGACGGTCACTGACAAGCTAGAATGTGTACGCTGTCATGTACAGGCTGTTACAAAGCAATAGCTTTAGATACAGTGTAACTTGTATTCAGTGGAAGCCAGATAGCACTTCAGAACCTTACATGATACCTGCCTTGTACCGACAGATCTTTCTCTCTCTGTCTCTCTCTCTCTCTCTCATTTGAGTATCATAAGTTTTCTTTTTTGACAGAGTGGGTGGAAAGCTAGTGACTTAGTCAGTAGCCCTATACTGCTGCTTTGGGACACAAAGCTGACAAGCTCAAATTCCACTCTGAGAGGGGCATTTGTGTAGATATTTGTCTCCCAGCTGCACTTGAGGTTATTTGGAAGAATGGTCTGAGCATAAGGCCTGCTAGAGGCCCTTAATTAAATCCTACTTCCTCTGGGGAGGGAGAAGGAGAGGGAAGGACAACGCATGCGTTCAAAAAGTGAAAAGGCAGGGTACACAACACAGTCTAACCTGGACATGTTTAGTGTTCCACACGGCAGGATGGATAAATTTTTGGTGTGTGTGTGAGAGTTCATTCTTAAAGTGCAGGGATAAAAGAGACATAGTGAACAGAAATCTAGTCAGTTAAAAAAAATGAGTTAAAAGTAATTTCAGGTACTTCACCTGCTTGAATCCCCTGTCAGTTTTTTGTGCTTTTACAATCACATTTTCCTTAAAAAAAAAAAAATCTTTCTCCTTAGCTGTTGTGTGAGAGATCTTCACAGACAAAAGGGGGAACTGATCAATAGATTAGACAAAAGTGCTGTGAAATATACAAAGTAAACAAACCTAGTTATTTTACCCTTCATCTTGTAATATAAATGATAGTTATGCCATAGTTATCTTAGATATTATTTGTAAAACATTTTCAGACAGATGACTGACTTTTAAATTGATAACATCCCTGGGAAGTGAAGTCTGCTAGTGTCCACACCACAGTTACAGTTAGGGGCCTGATTCAGAAACCATTGGAGTCAGTGGGCTTTGGATCAGGTATAGATACTTATAGATACTTTTTAAAAACTTCAATATTGTTAACCCTATCATTCCCCTTTCACACCCCAAACACCTTCCACCTCCACAAAGAGGGACAGAAGCTTATTTGAAGACAAGCAACAAGTTATAGAATTTACAGACTCTCCCCGATTTACGCAAGGCGTTCTGTTCCGGAATGCCTTGCGTAAGTCGAATTTTGCGTTGGGAACGCATACCCAACAATTACGCCAGAAAAAAAAAAAAAAAAAAAAAAAAAGAGCTTACGGAACGTATGGAGCTTTTTCCGTAAGTGCGGATTTGCGTAACTCGGGTCTTGCGTAACCCGGGGAGCGTCTGTACAAGGTGCAAATATCTTTCATAAATGCCAACACTAAAAAGAAAAATTTATCAGAGCTCTGAATATGACACATGAAAATGGACAGCTCACACTACATTAAGGAAGAACAATATGTAAGTGCTGTCATAGCTTCATAGATGTGTGTTCATTGTTTTTCTCTCTCCTCCTCCCTTCCCCAATCCATACATCACAACAGGTAGTTCTCAGCTGTTCCTTTTGCAGCAGACATACGTTTTATCTAAAGAGACAGAAGACCGAGCTACCTGCTGCTTACTGTATGGCTTTCCTGTGTTCCTCTTTTTTTTTTTTTTCCTTGTTCACTGGGGGCCTATTTAAATAAGCTGGCATGGAGCCAGAAGCTCATCATTTTAATGCAGTGTAAAATGGAATATGCATAATTATATGCAAGCCATATGTGAAGGAGACAGTTCAGCTGTGAATTTTAGGAGGCTGAGAAAGAGTGAACAGTCAGGGATTAGATGAGATGAAAGCGGAACAGAGTGCAAGTGTCACCCAAATGAACGGTGTAATGAGTGTGTTGCTGACACTCCTCCTTTCACCTACTACTCCCTTTTGCTTTAACTCTAAACCAGAAAATGTTGTAGATTAGAAGGAAAATACTATATGCAAGCAATATTGCTAATGGGCTCTGTTAATGTCTCCATTTAAACTTCAGCTTTCTTAATTGACAGTGTAGATCAAAATAACCAGTAACTTTTAATGCATCTTCTTAATTAAATATTTTACCACATTTGATTGAAGAATCATTGTTCTTGTTAGATGATTGCTCTTTTCAGAGCTTTACTTAAAAATGAAGGGAGAATCCACTTATCTCTAATAGCATTACATGTAAATTATGAGTATGAAAAGCTATTTGTAATGGCCTTGCTGTTAAAATGAAAATAGAGGTACGTTATCTAGGAATTGCTTAAGCATGTAAAAAAAAAAAAAGTTTAAACAAGTACGTATGTAATGTAATCCTGAAAAATGCAATGAAGTAAATTGAAACCCTTAAGTGCTCACAATTTCCAGCTCAAATATTTCATTTTGGGTTTGTCTCATGTTGTTTTAATTATTACACCACAGTGAATTTGCATGTTCAGCCTAAACTATGTAACAATCAGCATCCCAAGTTCTCATATCTAAAAGGTGTACTGCGTATTTAAACAAATTTCTTAATAATGTTGTATTTTGGGATTCCCGTTTGTTTTAATGATCTGAGCTGTTATGCTTTTAGCTATTTTTTTCTTCCATTATTTGTAAGTCCCTAAATAGGCCATTATATTTCCCTTCAGGCTAGAGATGAAGATGGACATGCTGAAAATTTTCCCCAGCAGCACTATGCTAAGGAAACTCCAAGGCTTGCCTTCAAGAATAACTGCGAACTACTTGTAAGAATAACATACTTACAACAAGTCTAGATTGTTACTTTAGCACAGTGAAAATAATTTTTTGAAAGGCTTTTGTTCATGATTACATACGTTATGAAATATTACAGCTTTTTTTTTCCTGTTTAGAGTTCTAATGCTAGTTCTGATATCAATGAACAATTTTAACATCTCAAATTGTTTGCAAATCTTTTATATCTGATTATAGAACTTGAATGGCCTTGTCTTACTATCTTGTCTTGTACAGTAGTTCATAAGGAGCCATGAAGGGAATGGCTAGTAAAGCACAAGGAAAAAAAACAAAACAAAACAAAAAAAAAAAACCCCCACCGGCCTCACAAGCTGTAAAAGACACCTCCCCGCCCTCCTGCCCCAATCTTAGCTCTACATTGTTCTCAGACACTATTGTAATATTTTGTTCTGCTAGGAAACACAGCAGAGCTGACACGCAGTACTCCCTTTAGAATTCAACTATTCCTCTATTTTTTTAGTGAAATGTAGTCAGGCGCTTTCCCCCCTCTTCTTTTTTGTGGGGAAGGAGTGAAAGCCAGCGAAGTACTGACAAGGAGCCTGGAATGTTTACAAGCCGTAAGAGAGATGATATCAGCTGTGAAAGGATCTCTGTTCCAAGGCAGGGTTAATTTGCTGTTCATTTTAGCATTTGCAACTAGGCTAGATTAAAAACAAGCAGGCATGCCTATTATATTTCTATTAAATGAATCTGTTGGGACCTAATATTCTCGATTAGCTTGCGAAAATGAGTGCTCCACAATGAATTTTTCTCTTTACCTAAAGTAAACAGAGAATGAATTGTCATTTATTTAAAAAGAGATTCACACATTGCCATTGAAAATGGAGCTTTTGATGAGTTTATAGAACTTTTCCCTACATTTCCTTTTCTTCCCAGCACCAGCAAGTAAAGACCTCATTTGGCTAAGTGGAAATAGTTGGGGAAAATGAGAACACTCAGTTTTATTTTGAAGCAACTTACAGACTTTTTTCTAATTATAAGTATATAAAAAAGGGGGAGGGGGAACACTGGCTGCAACTCCTCTGCCTCAGCAAATCCCCCAGAAGATATAGGGCTGGAGAATGCTCTCAGTTCCAGATGTGCAACCCCCAAGTACGTTAGTCAGTTACACTCATGTAACTAAGTGCAGAAATTGGTCCCCAGGATCTCACTCTCATATCAGTGGTATAAAAACAAAAGGCTGGGTTCTGCAGTCCAGCTGAGCTGTGCTTGGCACAGGACAGGGGAAATGGGCAATAAAGGTGGCTTTCTATCACCTTTGTTTTCTCCCCAATCTTAGGATCAGCCTGGGATCCATCCAGTATCCAGCATAAACTAAAGCAGTGAAAGCCCCCCAAGGGGTCATTCCAATAACTGTGAATAGCCAAAACACAGAGACACACTGGCCATGCCCCTATTCCCTAGGAATGCCCCCTACAACAGGGACAGGACAGGTACTGGCTTAGAGCCATAGTGGTAGCAATGTGTCACCCAAGGATACCCTTTACTAAGGAAATCTCCACTAGCTGGTTAAGATGTTTTCCAGCTGCTTTGTGCCACTTGTGTTACCCAAAAGGGCAAGACTCATCCATAATGGAATGCCACTTGAACAAAAGGTGTTACACCAGGCATGAATCTGGGCCTCAAGAACTGATCTTGCTACCACTGAAATCAATTGCAAAGTTCCTATTGATCGACTGGAGCAAGGTTAAGACCTAAGTGGCCAAAGAGTAGGAAAATTGAGACAAATTTATAATTATTCCCCTAATATTATATATTTACTAAATAAAAAGAGTTTCATTCCTTAATGACCACAGCCAATTACAAGAGCACTAGTCTCCTCAGGCCTGATACTGTGCATTCCCAGCATGTGCAAAACTCCTACTGAAGTCATCAGGAGTTTTGAGTGTACCAGGAATGCTGGATAGAGTCTGACACAATACACTAACACTGTCTGATCCATGAAATAATTCAGTTATTAATCCAAATGTAACTTTGCTTTTCTTTTAAAATAGATGAATGGAGCAACTAATGCCCACTCCAAGCATTGTTTTAATGTACAGTTACATTTCCCCCTATCAATCTATGTTTAAAATATTGTACTATTACGTAACTCTTGTTGTACTCAGCAAAAGCTCTGAGTCATCCAACCTAGTATTTTGTCCTCTGTGTGTTTTTTGGACAGGTTTCAGTTCTTTTTTACGGAAGTAATAAAAGTAATTTGTCATAGTTTTACTTTTCCGATGCTATTGGAAAAAAAGAATTGGCACAGATGCTGCCTGGAGTCAATCTGCATTGAAAGAAAGAGGACAAAAATTATGAATATGCACTTCTGCTATCATTAAAGATATACTTAGACAGTACCTCTCTTTGAAAATACGTTGGTACTAGCCTTTGGAGATGGTGGATACTATGACTCGGATAGGATGCTAAATGTTTTATAGTCAGGCAGTCATTTTATTTATATATTTCCATTGAGTCTATGTTGTGTTAAAATGCAGTTGAAAACAAATATATTGAAAGTTAAGGGAGGGTAGTGTCTCTGTCTGAAGTGCTTGTCAATATTTCTATATCATTGTGGGCAATTTTCTGCTGGACAAGAGGAAAAAAATAGAAAGAAAGTAGAAGGAAAAAACAAAAACAAAATGACAGGAAGATTGTTTCCCAATGGAAAAAGCATAACCAGTCATTAACAGTGAGAGGCAGATGTTGGTTTGTTGCTTTTTGTAAAACAATGAAGAGTTAAGACTTTAAATGAAAGAGAAATTGAAACTTGTTTATTCTTTTGAGAATCCAGAAATCCTTGGAGTTTTCTTAGTGCAGTTTAGAGTAAGTTTTATAATAGCCTGTCAGATGGAATTGGAAGCTCAGGCTCAAAAGTGCTTTCTTAGCTTTAGGGTTCATCTGCCATTTTCCAGTATGGTTTGTTGCAGCACGTACAGTCCCTACTGTTTGGGAAATGCTTCTGCTCCGAGGGTGCTGCCAGGATAGATCTAGGGGATCAAGCACTGATGGGTTCTGTATGCTAGTGCGCTCCCACAAGAACAAGAGTACATGGTTAGAATGTTAATATCCTGGATCACAGACACTCATTGAAAGACTTAACCCCTAAATACTTGGATAGATTTCTAAGTATAATAATAACCTATGCTATTGCAAATTGCATGGATTCATCTTTGCTTATTTCTTCATTACTTAAGAGAGAAATATTTGGGCTAGTTAGGTACAACTCAGCTATTTTAAAAAAAAAAACCCAAAACAGCTAGATAGGAAGTAGAAGGAAGAATACATTATCATTTAACAAAAATTAAAGCTCTGAGTGCATATGGCAGCTCTGTGTATTAAGAAAGCCGTGACAATTAAAGATTTGGTTGGCATAAAAACCCATCGTGCAGTTATGGGATTACTTTATGATATTGATTTCCCACTTTAAATCCAAAATATGCTGTGTGCCATCACAGTTAATGCAGAACACACACACAAAAAACAGATATTAAACTCAATGAGGATATAGAATTTTCCTTGTGAACTTTTAGTCATTTCGAAAATTAAGTTTCCCTCAGGTTAGCAATACATGATAAAATCTTGGGAACTACATAATGCAAATATTTTTTAAAAGAATAAGGCCAGCATGGTGGCTTGGCTGGCAGTGCAATCCACTGCCAGGGTTCCCTGCATCAGGACTTAAATTTCTCAGCAGCTGGGAGCTTTTATACAGGCACATCTCTTTGTTTCCAGGAGAAAAGGGCAGAGTATAGTCCCCTGGAAGCTGATTGTCAAGCAGCAATGCAATTCAGCTAGTGCTGGATGTTGGGAAAGAGATGGGATTAAAGAGTGAAAAATGATGTGCTAGAATGAAAGGACTGGTGAAAAGCCTACAATTCCTCCTCTAAGCAGCCCAAATTCCTGAGTCATTGCCTAGAGAAAGTACAAGTCCTCCTAGGCCATGGGTGGGCAAACTACAGCCTGGGGACCACATACGGCCCTCCAGACATTTTAATCAGGCCCTCGAGCTCTCACCGAGAAGCAGTGTCGGAGGCTTTCCCCGCTCCGGCACTCCAGCCATGGAGCTGGGTCAGGGTCTTGCCCCACTCTGCACGGCTCCTGGAAGCAGCGGCACGTCCCCATTCCGGCTCCTATGCGCAGGGGCAGCCAAGGGGCTCTGCATGCTGCCCCATCCCCAAGCGCCACCCCCCGCAACTCCCATTGGCCGGGAACCGCAGCCAATGGGAGCTGCAGGGGTGGCGCCTGCAGACAGGGCAACGTGCAGAGCCGCCTGACTGCACCTCCGCATAGGAGCCAGAGGAGGGACATGCTGCTATTTCTGGGAGCCGCTTGAGGTAAGTGCTGGCCAGAGCCTGGCCCCCGGGTCCCCTCCGGCGCCCCTGCTCCAGCCCTGATCCCCCGCCCATCCTCCGAACCCCTCGGTCCCAGCCCGGAGACTCTCCTGCATCCCCAACCCCTCATCCCCAGCCCCACGCCAGAGCCCGCATCCCCAGCCGGAGCCCTCCCCGCAATCCAACCCCCAATTTCATGAGCATGCATGGCCCGCCATACAATTTCCATACCCAGATGTGGCCCTTGGGCCAAAAAGTTTGCCCACCCCTGTCCTAGGCTCATCTCCAGGTTAGTCAGAGCAAAGGAGAGCCCCTACCAGGATGCCCCTCCCACAAAAATAGAAAATAAAAAACAACAGTTTGTTCTTGCTCTCTCTTGCTACCCACAATATTCAGTGCAGTTTTAGGATTAGTATGTTGCTTTCTGAGCAAGTGATAATTTTGGTGGGCTAAGGAAATGAATTGCTGGACTGCTTTCCCAGATCACTTTTTAGGGAGACAAAGTAAGAACCATGTGCACCTACAGAATTATATAAAAAATACATCACCAAGGATTGTAACTGGAATAGCACTATATTGCTGTGGTATGATAAATTCTGCCTCATGACTTCACTACACAATTAGTTAAAAGATAGGCTTGCTGGGCAAAAGTCCTT